TGAGCCACACCTCCACTGCTAGCTTTCTGGTGGGTAAATGGAGGTTAGCGTCTCAAGGATTTTTTTAAAATTTTTTGTTACTATACAAGTGATGTACAGTCAAGGAATTTCTTGTCCAGGTTGACTTCAAAATGTGATCTTCAGGTCTCAACCTCCTGAGTAGTAGACAGGATTATAGGCATGAGCCACTGATTTCTAACTCATATGGTTAATTTTTAATAGAATTTTCAGGAAATGAATAATAAAATTAAAATCATTTAGCTGTGAAAAGTATGCCAGATACTGAAAAAAGAAAAAGCATGTATTCAATCCTAGATTAATAGTGACAAAACATCAACTCACAAAAACCATCCATTACAAAGTTCACTGAAGTCAGACAGAACTCCTTTTACAACAAAAACCAACTTAGCCTTCCTCCATTCCATTCACTAAAATACGTTGGCAGGGAAACTCACATAGTATTAACAAAGAAAAAATATCATTTTGATTAAAGAGAAAACAAATCATTGACTCTAATAGTATGCCATTTAAACCTACATGTAAACTCAAGAACCTGTCAGACCTAAATTGCATATATGCAATTCCATACTAAAAACCTCAATATTATTAACTGAAGGCACTGATTTACAATGCTTCTAGAATCATGATTATTTTTCACATATGTCTAATGAGATGTCCAAAAAAAGCACTCAAATTTAATTTACTCATCTTTTAATTCAGAATCTATCTTATATTTCTAAACTGTAATTATTAACTAAGAGTAATTTTGCCCACCCTTCCCCTTCAAGGTGTTTACAAACCTGGAAAAAAGCTTTCATTGTACCTGAGGAGACAAATGTGAATTCTACTGGCATCTAGTGGGTAAAGGCCAGAGATGCTACTGAACATCCTCCACATACAGGTCCCCACATCAAGAATTATACAACCTAAAATGTCAATACTGCCTAGGCTAAGACACTTGGAAGTACAGAACTATTAAATATCAATCTGTATTTTTTTTAAATTTTTGTCATGTTTGTTTCTTTATTATTTGCTAATTGTATGCATTATCAGAACCCAGGACAATAGTATTCAAAAAGAAAAATTTACTGAATAAATAAAATGCCCCTAAACTTACCCCTCAAATTCTTACAGTCTCCAAATCCACTGCCTTTGAGGGCAAGGGCAATCTTTCAGTATCTCATGCAGGTCCTGCAAACTAGCTAATCAACTAAACTGATTAAAAAACTCTGCCACAAGTTTCTTAAATCCCAGTTTGACCCAATCTTTTCATTTTTCTTCCCAAAACTTCTCAGCGACTACAAAATTGTAATAAGGTATCTGTCATTTAAAGATAAAGAAACCAAAACACGGTAGCCAGGTATGTATGTCTACCTTGTGGGAGTCTAAAGTAGGAGGGTTTCTACTTTGCACCAACCTAGACTATATAAGGAGAAAAATCGAATGAAAAGAGATGCAAGGGAAAAAAGACAGCAAGCAACTCAAAGATGAACACGAGTCTAGATCAGAACTTGACTCTCCCAACAATTTTTACTGTAAATTTATTTTCCCAAATCATAATGCTACTTCACTAATAGACACTTCCTCACTAAGCCATCAACAACCGCATTTATTCCCATTCTACCTGCTCAAACTGTTTCTCCTATCAAGCTTTTTATTTTTCTATCCCACAGATCCAAATCTTGTCCGTCCACCAAAATCTCTTCCTATCCCACTTTAATAACTTTCTTCTTGTCTATAAAATCTTATATCTTGAATAAAATACCAGAGGAAGACAGTCATTATTGATACATGGACTAAGTTTAATGTATATTAACATTTCACAAAAAGTAAAGCTATTTAGATTATTTCTTTCCTAAAAACCATTCATCCATTCTTTCCTGTTTTAGGAAGTGATTTCAATAAAAAATGAACTCATGTCTCATTTGCAGAAAATAGTCATATACCTGGAAGACATTCCCAAACACATTTCTAATAGCAGAAATAGAAAGCCAGGATGGCCCCAATCACCTGAGTCTTCTCCATTAAGAAACAATTACCAATGTAGGTGTTTCATACCTGTAATCTTTTTTTTTTCTTTTTTGGGTCAGTCATGGGGCTTGAACTCTAGGAGTGTGCATTATCTCTGAGCTCTTCAGCTCAAGGCTAGCGCTCTATCACTTAAGCCACAGTGACACTCTGGTTTTCTGGTGGTTAACTAGAGATAAGAATCTTGGAATTTCCTGCCTGGGCTAGCTCTGAACCTGGCTGGCTTTGAACCAAGATCCTCAGATCTCAGCCTCCTGGGTAGCTAGGAATACAACGTGAGCCACCAGCAACTGGCTCATACCTGTAATCTTATCTAAAGCTACTACAGAATGACTGCTGTTTGAGGACAGCCTAGGCAAAAAGTTCAAGAGATCCCATCTCAATAGCTAGAAGCAGTGTTCAGCTGTCATCCCAGCTACGTGGACAACTAAGATCAGGAAGATAATTCCATAACATCTCCTGAAAAAAAAACAAAAAGCTTTCAAGGCCTCATCTCAAAAAAAAAAAAAATGAAGCATACATATTGTCATCTCACCTATAATGGGAAGACCACAGGCCTAGCCAGACCTGACAAATAGATGAGGCAATATATCAAAATTAACTACAGAGTGATGGGAAAGGGTGGCTCATGCTTATAGTCCTTGCTACACAAGAAGTTCAAGGATCACCACTTGAAGGCAGACGGTGCAGGAAAGGTTTTCCAATTAAACACCCTAAAGCCAGAAGTGCAGCTGTGGCTCAAGAAGCAGAGTGCAAAGTCTGAGTTCAGGACCAGCACACTCACAAATACACACACATACATACCCTAAAGCAAAAGGTTGGTGACACGCCTCAAGCAGTAGAATGCCTGCCTAGCAAGCATGAAACACTGAGTTCAAATCCTAGGGACAGCAAACAAGAAAAACTGGGGGAAAGGATCATTCTACTCACAGGTCCAAGCACAGAACTCACCTCGCAGTCACATCCTTGGATTCATTTCACTTACATCTACCATTATGTCCTCCAAAATTCCATTTCTCATTAATAGTTTCCATATCTTTTGCTTTTTCTCTTTAACCAAATTGTATAGAAAACCCACCAGCCTTTACACTTCATTCTTTTCTATACCAATTTTCAATGAAATGAAAAGTCCAATATTTCTTATCCAATTTCAGTATTTTTTTCTGATACCAAAACTTGAACTCAGAATCTTACCTGTGCTAGACTATGTTTACTTCCTCAGTTACTGTTCTACCACTGGAGCCAGGCCTGTAACCTAGCTTTTTTGCTCCTGGTTATTTTAGAGATGGAATGTGTCAGTCTTTTTTTCTGATACCAAAACTTGAACTCAGGATCTTACCTGTGCTAGACTTGTTTACTTCCTTAGTTACTGTTCTACTACTAGAACCAGGCCTGTAACCTAGCTTTTTGCTCCTGGTTATTTTAGAGATGGAATGTAAATAAATTTTCTGCAATGTTGGCTTTGAACTGAGATTCTACATATTTCAACCTCCTAAATTTACAGATTTAAACTAGCATTTAGTTCTTCAGTATTTTCTAAGTCGTAAAATATCAATCCCATGAAGTTTTATTTTCTTTTTTCTCCTTTCTATTTTTCATTCTTTGAGAATATTGGTCTAAAAAAAAAAAGTAATACATTTCCTTGCTGAATGCAGAAGAATCCACAGGGCTGTGGTAAAGGAAAATCAGACCACTCTTATTGTATTTTTTTTGGGGGGGGTCTGGTCGTGGGGCCTGAACTCTGGGCCTGGGCGCTGTCCCTCAGCATTTCAGCTCAAGGCTAGCGCTCTACCACTTGAGCCACAGCACCACTTCCGGCTTTTTTTTTCTTTTTGCTTATGTGGTGCTGAGGAATCGAACCCAGGGTCTCAGGCATGCAAGGCAAGCACTCTACCACTGAGCCACCTTCCCAGCCCTTATTGTATTTTTTCTTTTAAGTTTTTTTTTTTTTTGGTGAGGTTGAGGTGGGTGCTGGGTATTTAAATTTCTAGTGCTACCAAACTATAAACATGAGGTCAACCCATAACTATGATGTACTTGCCCAGTCCTTATGGTTTGTATTTATAAATTACATAGTACCTCAGTATAACACAAAATAAATATATAAATTATTAGAGTATATGCTGAAATTTTTCATAAGTGTATGACAACTCTGAAATATGAGGCCAAATGGAGGCCAAACTATGTAGATATATATCCAAGGATGTACGCATATGTGTGCGTGTTTACACACACGAAAGTGATACAAAGGAAAAACTCCTCTCTATATCCACACCAACAACCTACCTATACTAACCAACCTCTAATCCCTGACAACCATACGAGAATCCTATGCCCCAGTCCAAAGCTCAAATACACTGGAGGGGCAAAGCCCCTATTTCTAGTTCAGGGGCAAATTACCCAAAATGATAAGATTCTGCCCTTACCTTTCCAATAGAAGGCTAGGTACGGGCATTCTGGCACTGTATGGCATCGCCTGACTTACATATACGCCACACGCTCCCTAGATTCAGTTCTGATTTTCCTATTCCTTGGGGATGGGGGGTGGGGGGGGAAACAAAACTCAAATTCTCTTTCGCTAACATAATGCTCCCACCTCGTGGATCCGGCCCCACGCTTCCCTTCATCGGTCCCTCTCAGCGGGAGACCATCCCAGGTCTTACAGATGCGCGGAGCCGCGTCCCAGCGTGGAGGCCAGCCTCCCACCCAAGCTCACCACGTCCAGAAGACCACCGCTCCCCCCGCCGCCCCCGTCGCTGCCAGCCGAGCCGCAGCCGGGAGCCGGGCGGGGGAGGGGTGGCACTCCGCCTCCCGTGACGGGCCCAGATGGCAGCAGATGCCGCCCCCACGCGCCGACAACCCTCCACGCCTCGGCCCCCCGACGCTGCCCGTCCGCCCCGGGCTTCGAACCCCGCCCCAACTCCACCCCTGCTATCCCACGCGCCGTCCCGCGGGCTCCGGGACACACTTACCGTGCTGGGTGAAGATATTGAAGCCGGTCTCCGCGGTCCGCCCCGCAGGGTCCCGCCGGCGGCCCGAGGGCCTAGCCGCACTGCTGCCGCGGATCCCACGCGCCTGAGGCTGGAGGAGCCCGGGAGCCTCCCCGACGCGGCCCACCTGCTGCCCCATCCTGGCGCTCGCGTTCCGCCGCGCCACCGCCGACCCCCGGTCACATTCCTCCTGGGCTCCGGCCTCAGGCTCCCCGCCCGGCTTCGGCCTCTCCTTCCCTGCCCAAGCCCCTAGGACAGGGTTTCTGGCGGCTCAGCACCCGGAATCCTCACAGCAACCACCGCGCTACCTCTCGGCGATTCACACACTTTCCTTTTCCCTTCGCCTCCGGCCACTCCGCGCCCTCACCGCCGCCGCCGCTGCCTCCACCGCCGCCGCCATCTTTAAACCGCCGAGCAACGAGACACCGTGGGGCAGAGCGTCCCCCGCTCCCCGCCCGCCCAGTCGCGACGCGGGGGGCGTGGCCTGTGTGTGGGCACGCCCCCGTCGCCCCGCCCACCCGAGAACGCACACCGGCAGGTTTTCTGTGTCTAGAAGAGAAAAAAAGAAAGAAAGAAAGAAGACAAACGGCGTTGGAATGGGCAAAGATACCCATCGACTGAATGGACCACGCCTTCATGCTGGTCCTAGGGATAGATGAACTGTGCCTTCTCTGCCAGTTCGTTTTTCCCCGGCGAAGATAGCTAGGCAACAGTGGCCCATCCTTTTTAAGAGAAAAAGCAAGAAAGAAATAGAAACACCTTGGGTTGGGCATAGGCACCCGTCCTGGCGAGAGGGTGCCCCCTTCTCCCACGCGTGGGAACCCCCTTGCTCCCACACACAGCACTGCCACAACCCAGCCAGACGGCGTCTCCAGCTCCCAGACAGGGCAATATTTTTCCTTGGGCGTCCCCAGGAACTGAAGCAAACCAAGCTTTCTCCTTGGTTTCCTCCTAAGATGAATCAAGCCTTTTCGGGGCATCCCCAGAACACTTTTTGATTCCCGAATAACAGAGAAACAAAAGCAGGTTTAGACGGACAATGTCGTTGATGGTGATAGGAAAAAAAAAACTTTTATATTTAAATTTATGACACTTAGCCCAGATTTAACAGTGGAGGGAAATAGATCCTAAGTCCTCAAAAGGTTTACACTTTTGCTAAGCCAGATAACTCTTAGTTACAGTATTAATGTTGATGTTGTATCTTAAGTCACATATAAATCCAGTCACAAGAAAATAGAAAACTCACATTTTGAGAGGTCAAATTTTGGAGTCCCTAGCAGTATTGCATGCAGGCAATTTTTACAAAGACCTGCAAGAACGGAACCAACACCAAGTTTTTAAGGACAACAGCCACGTGTCTGGGTGGGGATCAAGCCTCAGCTAAGCATAAATAAACACAGCTTAAGGAGCAAGGTTCCCCTGGCTAAACAACACAATGTACCTGCTTATTCCCCAAAGCAAGGCCTGCCTGGCTGTACCCATTGAACCTGATATCTGCAATTCGAAGGATGGCTTGTCTCCCCTCTAGGTGTTGGAGCTGGATGGACAGCCCAACACCTGTTCAGACACTAGAAAGGCTGTGACATTATTTAGACTCAGTTTCCTCACTTTACTAACAGCTGCATGCATTAAAATACCAGATTGCCTTAAGTTTACCCAGACACACACGATCACACAAACACATACACACTTATACACAAAAGTTGTAAGGCGCGCTTAGATTTTTGAAAAATGTGAAGATTGGACATCAAAGTTTTCTGAAATTCCAGCAGCAAAATGACATTCTTTTGCCCAACATGATAGAACCACATGGTCAGTTTGAAAAAAAAATTTAAACCATCACTTTTGCCAACAGAATCTCTCACACGTAACCAAGTATAGCCAGGAACAGAATATGTTTAACCAGGCATCTTTGTGAGCAAGACACTTTACTTAATTTGAATACTTTTCTCAAATACACTTGATACTATTAGGCAACTAAGCTATGAGAATAGAAAAACTATCTTAACAAGTCAGATCAACTCTAAGGGGAAGCTGAAGGGGGATGCCCTGGTGACCTGAGGACAGTCAGGAAACTTGAGGCATTGTACAAACAGGCAGCTGAGCTACTTTGGGTCTAAAAAGGGTCATGGTCAGGGGCAGAGTCACAGGGAACTCAAGGCTAAAGAGTCGCCTGATCTCAGGGTATAGGCTGGCAAGTCCTGTAACCTACTGTCCAAGTCCCCACCCCTGCCTCTAGGAATTTAGGCACGACCATTACCTGACGGGTGGGAATCCACCTCCAAGAGTTTTGGAAATTCCCTATGATGTGTCACATTGTAAGGAGGGCACCTGTTAGACTCAATTCCCTATTATCCACCTAGTGCTCAAGATGGCAACAGTTAGACCCAGTATCTTTATTTTAACAAAGGATCTAGCAACCCCATTTTACATCAAGAGGATTGTTTAACAGGATTATTTATACAGGACTCCAAATTTGCTAACAATCTTATGGTCTCTACCAAATTCCAAACTCCTTTCCCCTTCCTTTTTCATGCGGGCATGTGGCCTTGTGGGCATGTGGCCTTAATCTGTTTTTCATCAATTTTGAAACCACAGCACTTTACATATCACTTTTTAATTTCACCAAGTTAAGTTCAAGAGAAAACAACTTCTATGTAAAAGCAGTCATATATCAAGCCTTTAGCACATAAACAATTGAACAGTATAGGGGGTGGGAAGGTGGCTCAGTGGTAGAGTGCTTGCCTTGCATGCCTGAGGCCCTGGCTTCGATTCCTCAACACCACATAAGCAAAAAGAAAAAGCTGGAAGTGGCACTGTGGCTCAAGTGGTAGAGTGCTAGCCTTGAGCCTGAAGAGCTGAGGGACAGCGCTCAGGCCCAGAGTTCAGGCCCCACGACTGGACCCCCCACAAAAAAAGGCAAGGAAAATTTTAACATAGGTACAGGGTTTTTTGTGTTTTTGTTTGTTTGTTTTGCCAGTCCTGGGGCCTAAATTCAGAGCTTCAGCACTGACCCTGAGCTTCTTTTGCTCAAGGTTAGAGCTCTAACTACTTTGAGCCACAGCAACATTCCTGGCTTTTTCTGAGAATATGGTTCTGAGGAATCACACCCAGGGCTTCATGCATGCTAGGTAAGCACTCTACCACTAAGCCACATTCCCAGGCCATAGGTGCAGTTTTCTTACCACTTAAATAAAACCACAATGGAAAGCAATCTATATTAATCTGAACTGTATCTATATGGAAAATAGAAAAATTTACAATTACTTTACCAAACCAATCCTGAAACAAAAATTGAAGGCAAATTTAAGAGTTTGCATGGGTTAGTATTGGCAAGTAGTCGCACCAAAAAAAAAAGAAGAAAAAAGCAAATAATAAAACTCAAGCTAATTTTCTTACCTGTGTATGTTCGCAAAGGCAGTTAGAGAATTTCTACCTCCTATGGTCCTTTTGTGTTGGCCATTTATGTCACCAGACGTAGGTGAGGTTTAGTGAAAAATTCCCTTTAAATGTAGGAACTCTTAGGGTCTTTGTCTTCTATCACAGAATAAGAATGTCTGGACAAGTCACAATGGTAGGAAAACTTGGCAGAGCTTTATTGAGTAAGTAAACAAGCAGGCAAAAAAAAAAACTAGACAAATGCACAAAAGGATAGGGGCTCACTCTAGCAGAGTGTGGGTGCTCTCATAGGAAGAGACAAAGACACAAGCACACACAGGAAGACACCCAGAGAAACACTGCTCCTTGGGCTGTTGGGATATTTATAGGGTAAAGACAGGAGGTCTGGCTTCATAGTTATGCAGAAATAGGTGTTTTGTCTTTGCTCTAATCACACCTGGTGTTACTTTCTGAGTTTCCAAGCAAGAATAAATCCTGCCATAAAACATCTTTATCCTTGAGACAGGGAGGCGTCTTCTATCTTTCTTTTGGCGCATGAGGTGGCTTAAGTTTGGGAAAGGGGTTTTTCTCAGACTAAGTGTTCATTTTTGAGGTGAGGAATACATCCCTCAGGAAGGAATACATACTTTTGTCTCTCTTTGTAACAAGGATGACACTTCTATGTTTCTAAATACCATATTTCTGAGTTGCCTTCACCAGACCCATTTCCTTAAGTTATCCTGTTTCATTCCCTAAAATTACTTTTGTTCCCTTAATCTTAAGGGAAGTATTTGAAGGAATATCTCCTATATTTTCTGTAAGCTGACCATTCCTCATTCTTCCCAGCTTCAAATTCATCATCGTTAAAGTAATGACAAGGGCTGGGAATGTGGCTAAGTGGTAGAGTGCTTGCCTAGCGTGCACAAATCCCTGGGTTTGATTCCTCAGTACCACATAAACAGAAAAAGCTGGAAGTGGTGCTGTAGCTCAAGATAGCATGCTAGCCTTGAGCAAGAAGAAACTCAGGGAATATGTTCAGGCCCTGAGTTCAAGCCCCAGGACTAGCAAACAAACAAACAAACAAAACCCTAAAACAAAGTAATGACTATAATTCAAGGTATTTCTAACAATTTGTTGACTTGTCTACAATCTTTCAAGTAACCAGAGAGGAGTGGAGAATCCTTCCTTTGTCTTTGCAGCAGTCAGTGTAAACACAGGATCCCTCAAGTCTGGCAATGGACCTGAAATCAAAAGGTAACCTCTTGTAAGGATCAAGCAAGGAAAAGCTGGGCTATAAATACTGCCTTAGTGATAGGATATTTTCAGGAGTTAAGTGTGTATTTGACAGAGATGTGTCCCAACTGTGGAAGGACAGCAGAGATTCTATAAACAGGGAGGAATTTCTAGTTATATGAGAAACCTCCAGTAGAGAAGGTTGCATATAAAAGGGGTAAACAAGAAATCTCCAATGTGGGAGATGAATGCAAAGGAAAACACACACAGGGACCTGCTGAAAATAGGGAAGAAAAATTCTAGCCCAGAGAAGTCAATTAAAGTGGAGCTAAGGAGGATCTCTTTGACATTTTTCAAATAGTCTATTGGGGAGAATGTTGACAAAAGGTCTACCTGAGAGTGATCTAAATCAATAAAGTCTCTTTTCATTTTGAGCTCACTATTTTGTGTGTGTGTGCTAGCCCTGGGATTTGAACTCAGGGCCTGAACTTCTTTGGCACAGTGCTAGCTAGCACTCTAACCACTTGAGCCACAGCTCCACTTCCAGCTTTTTTTTTTTTTAATTGGTAGTTTCTTGCAGATAAGAGTCTCAAAACTCCTACTAGGGTTGGCTTTGAACCACAATGCTCAGATCTCAGCCTCCTGAAAAGCTAGGATTACAAGCAAGAGTCACCAGCACCAGGCTGATCTCACTTTTTTGTTGTTGTTGTTGTTAGGGCTGGGGGCTTGAACTCTGGGCCTGGGTACTGTCCCTGAGCTCTTCAGCTCAAGGTGAG